ATCCTGACCTGTTGTTGATCACCAGGGGCTGCCTCTCTTCGGGGAGTTCACAGAAATCCAGCTCATCCTGCCGCAACAGGGACTGCCATAAGAGCTCCTTAGTGGCGGCATCCAGCAAGAGAGGAAACGTGGGGACACAAGCTTGGAGACGCAACCACAGAGCCGGGACCGTGATCCCATCCAAGCCTTCCAAAGCCACTTCATCTAATACCGCTTCCAGCGCCTCCATATTCTGGTCATCCACTAGGGAACAACACACAAAGCGATCTCACAACAGCATACATCTATCATAGTCTATATACTGGCTCATGTCAAGTGCAGGTTGACAGGGATAAAGAGCTCTATATTCCAAAAGATCGAACTCGTTAGATAATGAATGTTTCCAGTCTGGAAGCCATTTTGTTGAAGGCCTTCCCGGTTAAGCAACTAGTAATGCCTCCAAGAAAATGTCCGCCATCCCAAACTAGACAGTTTCCTTAGGGGACATTTTTTAAATGCAAGGCTGCTGATATGGTGGCGTAAAAGCGAAAGCTGTCATTGGCTAGAACCTACTGAAGTCAAGGTGTGATTGGAAAGTAAGCAGACTTGAAGTCTCGAATCTGCGCCAGGAGCCTGAGCACATTGGTCAGGACAGCGCTGCACCATCCTGATTGGCTGCTGTCATACTCAGTGTTTATTAGTTGCTTGCAACCAGGTAACCGGAGAAAACATTGGGGAACAGTTCTGTTATTCTATGCAGCATCCGAGGCGGCTACCAGCTGTGCCATGCACGGTAAGTGAATAGAGTGATTGAAATTGCTCTGAAATCACTTGAGGAACTCCAGCTCAGTGCATCATTATTCTTTTGAAGTAGTTGGGTTGCTGAATGTTTGTTGCACAGGTACACAAGGGTCAAAATCAGCCCTCAATCACATCTGAGCGTTTTGTTGTTTGTTTCCTAAAGCATGACAACGCTAAACATGAAGAACCCCATTATTTTTAGTGCTGCTTGTTTCGAGTGTTGTGTCTCTTGAAGCTCAAAAAAAGTACATGAGCTTCTTTTTGGGCAGAATCACGTTTTCGGCGTCATTTACTTCAACGTGAGCGACTAGGAAACGCACTTAACGCACATTTTGGCACAATTTTGTGCCTACCATCTGCTCCTAGTAAATAGCTTACCATTGCCTAACACAAACATGCTCAAGCCTGAGACACAGTTGAAAAACATGCAAAAACTGCTTCTATATTGTTTTAACTACGCTCAGCTCAGGTGTGCCAGGCAACAGCGTTTTTGTGCGTATCTACGTTTGTGATATGTTATCATAAGCATAAATCAAGTTGCGCTTTTTGTTAGCTGAATCTAGCTCTTTGATGTTAATGGGCAGACGCATGTTAAATGCACGCAAAAACACAGCAAATGTGTGTTTTCGAGTGTTTCCTATTAAGTCTATGGGGCCAAAACGAGCTGTAATATGACAAAAAAAAGCTCATGTATATTTTTCAGTGACAGGCATTTTGCTTATTGCAAGAAAAAAATGAAGATATGAATGGGATTTTTGGGGGGCATATTTTTTGAGCGTTTAAGGCAGAAAAAGTGCTGCAAAACGCTCAGCGCGAGCCAGGCCTAAAGTGTAACTACGAGCAGACTCAGAAATGACATATATGATGCAGACTGTCATGACTTGAAAACCGAAAGGTGGGTGGGGGATTGCGTGCCTGTAGTTAAAGGGACCCTGTCATGTATGCTGGCCTCCTTTTTATAAGACTCCATTCACACATTAGTGGTAATATGTGCGGAAACACACTAAACATAAAAAAACAATGCATTCCATAGTGCATTGATCAGACTATTGCGGCGTCCATGCAGTATGAAACTTCAAATCCCGGAAAATAATCCAAGCATGATTTAAGGGGCAGATTTCCTGCGTATGTAAAATTGCACGTTTACATGCCGCACGGTTTTCCACGCAGAAAAACGTGCGGAAAACGCAAATGTCATAGGTGAATGGGGCCTTAAAATGCTAGTTGTCTGATTTAGGACCCATTCACACTAGTACATTAATATGAATTGTGTCACATGTCAACTGCATTAAGGCAGCCCGAAAATGTTCAATGGTCTGCCAATGCACAACAAAAAATGCTTGTGCAGCATTTTCTTACGGAGCGCACCACAACACACAGAGATGTATTGCTTTAATGCAGGGGTGGGCAACTCCGACCCTCCAGCTGTGCTTTAACTACAAATCTCAACATGCCTCTGGGAGTCATGCCTGATGACTGTCAGTCATGGGATTAATGGTTCCACAACAGCTGGAGGGCTGGAGTTGCCTACCCCTGTCTTAGTGGGTTGGAGTGCCATTGAAAATGATAGGGAGGACCCATCTGTGTGTAATGAGGGGGCTAGGGATATTTCTGCTCTGAGATGATCATTATTTTATTATTACAGGTGTATGTATACAGTGCCAACATGCATTACATACTGCACATTGACATCAGTCCCTGCCCTTAAGGAACTTACATTCTAAGGTCCCTAACTTACTTAGGAGTATGGGAGAAAACCAGGTACCCAGAGGAAACCCATGCAAACAAGCTCCTTGCAGATAGAGTCCTGACCGAGATTCAAACCAGTGACCCCAGTGATACAAGGCAGAAGTGCTGATCACTAAGCCACTGTGCTGCCCATATGTTTTAGTAGACTAACTCTACTTGTTGCTTGGGTCCATCTCCCAGCCCCATGCTTTTCTCATTCCCAAGTATACATTGTTCTCTCGAGATACTTTGACAAATGCAGACAACAATACCACAAATACTGTTTATAAGTTGTGTATTGAATTTATTAGATTTAGCTGCTAAAATCTTTTCCTGCGCGCTATTCTTTTCTTCTTTTTTTTTTATCCCCTAGTAACTTTTCCTGGAAAGAACACTACCAGGCAGTAATAAGAGTCTGCTATGGACCATACTTCTCAACAATAGGCTACACCCAAACATCCTGTTAAATGCTGAGCTCTGCCATGTTCCACACAGACACACACACAAACATACTTTGACAAACAATTTTAACCAGTTAGTCTGCAACCTTATTGGACAAAAGTAAACTACTCCCACAATCCATGGTATCTTTTCTATCATTTTTGAGTCTTCTCTTATGCAAAACAAAATTAAATTGGAGAAAAACACTAAAATGATCAGAAAGCATTATACTGCCCTTTTTTGTGTGTCTTTTAGGTAGATCTATGGGAAGCAATGAAAGAAGTCATTCTAGAGCTAAGACTAAAAATGTGGTGAGTCCATATCTCTCATTATTATTGTTTAGAAGTTTGTCAGAATATTTTGGTTTAATATGAAATCAGATATGTGTTGCTGGGGATTAACTCTACTGCATGTAGGGTTGAAAAGCTTCTAATTTAACATGAAATATTAGCTTGTAGTGATCAATGTTTAAAATCCTAAAGTAAGTCTTAACTTTGCCCATGCTTTGCAAAGCAACAGATTTACTTTCATTCTGTTTTGTCTTAGCATCCAATACGTTCTCCACAACCCATGTGACAGCCATTGGCTAGTCGCCAAGCACCAGTACTAATACATGAGAGGAAGTCATGTGATCGCCGTACCGGGAAGTTAAGGAAAGGTGGATAGTAGGCCGGGCATTAAGATGTACCCATTTCTTTGCCCTGCATGGATATAGCACACCTTCACTTTAAACCTGGTCATGTCCTGCATCCCTGGTAGCCAACTTGCAGTCCTCAGAGCCTTTGAGTCAGGCAGTAGTCTGTGTATTTCTTACCTCGATACTTATTCATGCCATGAAGGTCAAATATATTCCAGGGGTGCGTGATTTGTATCACCTGAAGCACGGGACACGCAAGGTAATTATGGGGTCAGATGTCACTTGACGTCTGTCAGTTGCTGACCTGTCACCTTTCAGGTCAGGTAGTTGACAGACAGCAGCTGTCACTGATGCACCAACTGAAGTGTCAGGCTTGGACAAAGTGAGTAAAAGCTGATCTTAGCCCAATCACTAAAATCTCATAAAGGCTTAAACATGTCAGGGTAATTTAAAAGCTGTGCTAAGTCTTTTTAAATGTGCAGCTTTTGTTAAAGCTGAACTACAACCTCCTAGCCCTTACAGCCAAGGAATGTGCCATCTTAGCCTTTATTTGGATTGCAGTTGCCATGGTACTGCACATGTGATCACCTATGACAACAAGCCATTTAAAGGCTTGAAAGTTGGGTTGGGAGCTGAAATAAGCTGCGTCAACACATACACTGAGTGGCCAGATTATTATGACCACCCCATCAGTACTTCATTGGGCCTCCTTTTGCCTTCAATACTGCGGCGATTCTTCTTGGCATTGACTCCACAAGATCTTGAAAGGTGATGCGAGGAATCTGACACCATGCCTGATGAATAGCACTGTCCAGTTCTGTGAGATTTGATGGTTGTGGAACCAGCTGCCTGATGGCTCTTTCAACTTCGTTCCACAAATGGTCAAATGGATTGAGATCTGGTGATTGTGGGGGCCACCTAAGCAAGGTAAAGTCTCCCTCATGTTCTTGAAACCACTCCTGCACAATACGAGCACCGTGGCATGGTGCGTTGTCTTGTTGGAAGAAGCCATCTCCATTGGGATACGCCATCAACATGATAGGATGAACTTGATCAGCAACGATACTTTGGTATGTTGTGCTACGTTCAACGGCTGTTAAATCGCGTTGTTTACCCATATCTTCAGAAAAAAATCACTTCTACTGTCGTGGTAAATAAACTGCTTCCCTATTTATAATGGTCTGGCCCTCTAGCAACTTCAGCACCAAATTATAGCTAATTTGCCTACAAACGTCAGGTGGTCATAATAATCTGGCCACTCAGTGTATTTTAGGAAGATGGTCCACAGCAGTAATGTGCAGATGGCACTAGGGTTAGAGCATGTAGACAGGAAGCTGCAGAAAAAGGCAGAGGGGATCGGCAACCTGACATGTAAAAAAATGTTAGGATTTGTAAGGATACACTGCAGTGAAATCTGTGTTCCTTACTACTTCTGCATTACTTACTACTAAGCCCTGCATTGTGCATTACCTACTGTTGACATCTGTGCTCTGCTTTACTTACTTTTGACCTTTCCACTCTGTGTTAAATACTACTGACCTCTGATCTCTCTGTTACATACTACTGAACTCTGCATTACTTAATACTGATTCCTGAGCTCTTCAAACATTCCTTCCTTTTTTGGGGCCTTACTTGGTTATGTCCTAAAAAGCAAGCTGGTGGTCTTTGATCTCTTCCATGTTGTTTAGGTTTTTCTCCAGCTATCCTGAGTTGTCTACTCTTGCTTTAGCTAAATAAAGGGCAAATATACATCTTTCATAGGTGACTGCTTGATTATAATTAAAGACTTCTAATATACAGCCTGTCAGCCCTTTGTGATAGTAAGGGCCTGTGTCAATTGGCTTTGTTCGCTTCAAACAATTTTGCATTTTCATACAAGTCTATAAGAATGCAAAACATGCTTGAAGCAGCTCAAATGCAGGTCAGAAGAAGTCAACTTCAAAGTAAATGTACACCTTTAATAAATTCTAAACCATCACAGAAGCCTATCAGTCTGATGCCATTAACACAAGCACAAAGCATCCCCACCCCTGCACACGCACATAAGAACGCAAACACACATGCATAAGTAAACCTTGATTGAACAATACATGTTAGGTATTGCTGTTCATTCTGGAGTGAGATGAATAATTGAAGGGTCCAGGAAAGATATTTTATTTTTTATTTTTTTACTGTTAAGAGTAATTTATCATCTCGCTATGTACCATCATGTTTCACACTAATGGTTGTTATTTTATTTTTTTTCTTTTAAGAATGACTTTGGTAAGCAGAGTGAGTTTGATGAGAAACATGATGAATATTTATTATATCTTCAACAGAAAAACAGGTAAGAAGCAAACAAATTGTGTTTAAAAACAAATTGCAAAGCAAGATGGAACAGAGTTAAACTGCCCAGGCGCTGAGTTTATTTTGGCCTGTTCTTGATGAACAAGCCAAATTTCACTCAGTGGGTGGCCCTGCCAGCATCCTCCTGCCCATCAATCTAAAATCGAAGGAGCTGGCAAAACAGTAACTGCAGCCAGTCAGCTGCTGTCACTATACTGCCATTCTGACAGTTGCTGTCTAAATACATTTAAGGTGCCCATACACTGCACGATTCTCGTATGAAAATCGCGGGAAATACCGCCATCATACGTTAATCGTGTGGTGTATGGAAGGCGTGCGACCGTTTCTACTGTACGGTCGCACGTCTTCCGTCGAACAATCAGGCTGGAAAACCCGCCGGGAATCGTACGATTCTCTGTGAGTTAGTGGCCTGCATGTTCGACAACTGACGCTTGTGGTCATCATAAGCCTGCCCCTCATTGCAGTCATCGGACTGTGGGTTGACCTGTTTGTCAAACGAGTTCCGAATAAACATTTTAATCAATTAATGTGATATTAAAGTCAATAGGTTTTTAAGCCATTTCAAATGCCTCAAATTATTTACAATGGATGCTGCTTGCTCCTTGATGTTTAAAACTTTTAATTTCCTGAAGAATCAACTGGTGCTTTGAGCATCGACCCTCCTATCCCATTTCAGGGTGCCTCCTCTTGCTTGCAGTGTCCTATGGAGCCACCCTTGTGTGTGCTAATGAGCTGTGTGTTTCTTCACAAAGGCACAGCAAGGCAAGTCACTCTCCTGCTCCACACTCCTCCTTCCTCCCTTCTCTAAGCTAGTAGATGTAATGCTACTGCATACTTCTCTGTCCCTTGTAATCTTGTACTGGACAGGAAGTTCAGGGAACCTGAACAGAGAGACTTGGAGCCAGCTGTTCCGAAACATGGTGACTGTAAATTCTTTTGAAAAAAAAAAGAAATACTGTACTGGTCAATGTATATTTGTTTGATCAGGATTCATTATTGAAGAAAAAGTTTGAGCATCTAATACTACTTTAATGACACAGATCTGGCGGCTGCTAAGCTAAGTGAAAATTCACTTAGCAAACTGAGCATGATTTACTCCTTTAGTGTATAAACCTCCTGTGTGTTTATACAGATTTGACCATATATTTGTGCAGCTGTAGTAACAAGGGCGAGCAGCTGAGACAAGGCAGCCAAGGGAGGCAGGTAGAATAAGTTAGAAGTTATATTATAGTATTATATAGTAATGGTTATTTGCCATAATTGCTGTTTTTCTTAGCAATGAGATCTGAAAATAATGAGTAAACTGGATTGGTTCTAGAATACCTGTTTGTGTGAAATTTAAAAGAGTTAGGGGCTAGGTTTGGAACACTAAAGACCAATAAGTCAGAATTCTGTGTTATGTAAAGTATTTGCAGTATTGAAATGGAAGATATTATGTATATAAAGAAAATAAAAATTCTAATTTGGATATTGAAAAAGCAGTTGATGTGATATCCAGATTTTGTATGTTGATTAAACTATACTGAATATTGGCCAAAAACTGGCCAAATGATTCTACTCAAAGAGTGCTGGAATATCTGAGCTGCTTTTTTGAGACTAGTGATAAGAAAGAAGGTTGTGACCAAGTGTGAAATACACTGTAATCAGTATCTGGTGCCAGTGCTATATAGGACAGGCAGTTGTCTAACCAATTGTCAATCTTTGATAGACACCTGCTTACTTCCTGTAGCAGTAGAAGGGTGTGCATTAGCGTCCGATCTCAAATAATTTAATGAATTATAATTTAAAGGATTCCATATAGCAAGTCAGCATCATGGTGGCCTGAAAATCATTATTGGGTGACTTTCTTCTCTGACATTTCTAAATTCAGATTTATATATTCTGATTGGGCTATTATTTAATTATGTTATTGATATTCACTAATCAAAGCTTGATTCATGTATTATATTTGTTTTTTAGGGTACAGAATATTAGTAAAGCAAAGGATACTGCACAAGTTAAGTTAGAACACCTGGAACAAGGATTTTCTATCTATATAAATGGAGCAAATGCTGAGTTAACAAAACATTACAGCACACACAATTTAACAAGAAGTGGTTTAAAAACACAAGAAGGGAAAGGTGGGTATTGTTTTCAAGAGCGCATAGAAATGTTGTTACATGATACTCTGTGTTAGCCTCTCTTAGTCAATCAAGTTATGAATTGAAAAACAAAGCTTCATTTCATGGTTGAAAAATTGAATCTAACGTTAAAGGACACTATCTCTTTGCCCATGGAGGATAAAATGACAGGGTCTCTGCAGCCAGGCCCCACTAAGCTTCTTATACTCTCCTTGCCAGCACTCCCCAACTGCTCTTGCCCCTCTCACAGGGTACCTATAAACATTTCTGGTTATCCTGTCCCAAAATAAAAGATTAGTCAAGCATCAATAAAACAAAAAAAATCAGGTATGCTCAAAAAATTATATCAAAATAGAATATATTTGTATTTTTCTCTGAAACAAAATGACTAGACATAGCATTTTTTTATAGCCAAATATCTATTCATAGAATATTGAAATTCAAATGACAATAGCACACAATGTCAAACATGACTAATTTTTGGTATTCGAAAAAAAACAAACATACATTATCCTTAAATTTGGGAACCTTTTTATAAAAACATGGAAGTCATGGACTGGACATAGGCAATGACAGTAGTCAGACAGCACAGAGAAAATGTAATGTATATTAGATACAGACCATGTGCCATGTATTGGCTCTGCAGAAATGTCAGAGGTGAGTGTCATTTTACCAATGCAGAGACATCTATGGTTCATATGTCATGTCTGATGCAAGAGGGGTTGTTATATTTAGTGCCCATGCAGATGGTAGAGGCGGGGCTGTTACATGGTATATGTTAGTGTCTTGTCGTCTTGTACCCTAAGCAGAATAGCATTAGTGAATCACCTGCACTCCATACAGCGCTTTGACCATACGAAATAGCTGTTGGTGCTCAAAGTGACGACACAGATGGTGATGTGCCAAAGTCCAATTTAATGATAGAAGTCACCAGCATTCACTTGTAATGTGCAAGGAGCATCAGCACTGTTATTGATGCGTCACAGAGCCAACGTTTCGGGGCCACGCAGGGTCCCTTCCTCAGGGTGACATAGGGACCATCACTATGTCACTCTGAGGAAGGGACTCTGCGTGGCCCCGAAACGTTGGCTCTGTGACGCTTCAATAAAGTGTCTATGCTCCTTGCACATTACAAGTGAATGCTGGTGACTTCTATCATTGATTGTACCCCAGGGCTGCAACAACTAATCGACATAATCGATTATAATCGATTATTGAAAAAGTTGTCAACTTTTTCAATAATCGATTAATCGTCTTCCGATCAGTAGGCCCTGTTCACAGCTCCACACGCTGTGCGCCGCACCTCCTCCCCACCTCATGCTCGCCGCTGCCAGACCCGCTCGCATCCACGCTCCACACGTCGCACCTCCTCCCCGCCTCACATTTCCTGCCCGTCCACATCCACGATCGGCACAGGGACGCGGGGAGATGTAGTAAGGAGGAGCAGGTGTGGGGGGATGACAGCCGCTGATAGACAGGTCCGATCTCAGAAGCAAGTTGCTGGAAGACTGCTCAGGTAAGCCTGCACTTTCCCACACATGGTGCTCTATAATGTATTGCTGGGATTTGTATTTCTCTATAGCTGATGGTACATTGTGCTGTATACTATAATATACAGCACAATGTACCATCAGCTATAGAGGAATACAAATCCCAGCAATACATTATACACTGTATGTATAATGTATTGCTGGGATTTGTTGTACTCCTCTGTAGTTGATGATATTCTGCATTGCGCTGTATAGAGGACTACAAGTCACAGCAATAATACATTATACAGCGCAATGCGGAATACCAGCAGCTATAGAGCACTACAACAAATCCCAGCAATAATACATTATAAAGTGGTACAATGCTAAATACCACCAGCTATACAGGACTACAAAACCTAGCAATAGTACATTGTACAGCGCAATGCAGAATACCGCCAGCTATTATGTACTATTGCTGCGATTTGTTGTATTCCTCTATAGCTGGCGGTATTCTGCATTGCGCTGTGTAATGTGCTTTTGCTGGGTTTTGTAGTCCTCTATAGCCGGTGCCATTCTGCATGCATTGCTGTATAATTTTACACTTTCCATTTCACTATATTGCACACCACACTATCTTTTTTCTTTTTTACTTCCACCGCTCCAAGCTTGCTCCTGTGATGGACTACAACCTCAATACAAACTAGTAGTCCATCACTGGAGCCATTTTTTAAACTTTATTTTATTGTTTATCCGATTAACCGATTAATCGAACCTAATAATCGGCTAACTAATCGATTTTGAAAATAATCGTTAGCTGCAGCTCTATTGTACCCTAGTCAGCCTATTTTCCCTCCTCCTGTTTAAATGAGGAGATTCAGTAAGATATTTTTCTTTATATGCAACTCAGTGTTGTGGAAGCGGACCTGATCCTTGTGATTCCAGTGTACTGCCTGCAGTGACTAGCATGTGCTGGGGCAGTCCATTGATCTTATAGGACTTGGAGTAGGTATTACAGAAGATCAGGTTGCAGCCTTACAGATCTGGGACACAGAGGCCAGATGATGTAAGGCCAAGAAGCACTCACTGCTCTAGTAGTGTGGACTTTTATGGTAAAATTAGTCACTTTATCTGGCAACTCATAGATAGGCCTGTACAACAACCTGTCGAATCCACTTGCAAATAGTGGATCTGGAAGCTGGAGTACCTCCTTTAGTATCTTCTGGAATGACAAACGGGGAATCCATCTACCTTTTTAACCCCTTCATGACTGAGACCTTTTTTTTTCCATTTTTTTGCAACCATGTTATATTCCACATTTTAGGCCTGAAAATTACTTAAAACCCCCCAAACATTATATATTTTCTGAATGCCAAGACCCTATACAATATAATGGTGGTAGTTGCAAATTTTTATGTTGCGCAATATTAGCGCAACTCCTTATTAAACCCCAAAATTTTGTGATAAATTTAATTAAATGCCACAAAATACCAATTTTTTTAATGAAATATAAAAGATGAGGTTACAACAAGTAAACGATACCCAACATGCCCAGTTTAGAAATTGCTTGCGTCTTTGAAACAGCGAAAAACTGCAGTACCCCAAAAAGTCCACAGAAGACGCTTTAAAAGCCCCCACAGGTCATTAATTTAGAGATACCCCAAAATACTGGCCCTAGAATTATTGCTCTCGCTCCCGCGTGCGCGGCGATACCCAACATGTGTAGCGCGTAGGCCCACCCGACACGTGTTTACGTGGCGACGCGCGGGGGCGGGGTACTTTTAAAAATTGTTTATTATTATTATTGGATTTATTTTATTTTTAATTTTAGAAACTGTTTTTTTTACTTTACTTTGCCTGCTATCACATGGGGGGGCTTACAAGCCCCCCCCCCCCCCCCCCCGGCTAAGCGATGTGGGTGGCCAGACA